TTTCATGTCGTGGGAATTTTCTCTCAATAAAAAAAATGTACAGTGAGACAGTGACATAGAGCATATTGCAGCCAATGGCACTTTTTAAATGTACATTTGCAGACCTAGATATTTTCAGGTAAACTAGTTAATAAGTTACACTATAAAGTTAGAATTTATAAACTAAAAAAAAAGAAGGCACAAAAGGATGGGGTCTGGTTCAATCCCTCAGTTTGCTAATCCCTCCCTTGTAAGTGCCAAAATCCCATATGGACATTTGTTCATATCCCAGCTGCTCCACTTCCTCTCCAGCTCCCTGCTTGTGGCCTGGGAAAGCAATGGAGGATTGCCCAAAGCCTCAGGACCCTGCAGCCACATAGGAGGCCAGGAAAAAGTTCCTGACTCCTGTGGATTTGTTCAGCTCTGGGTATTGCAGTCATTGGGGAGTGAACCAGCAAATGGAAGATCTTTCTGTCTCTCCTTCTCTCTGTAAATCTGACTTTCCAATATAAAAAAATAAATCTTTAAAAAAAAAAAGAAGATGAGGAAAAAGAAAAACAGAACCTGTATGCATGTACGTTTGTATGTGTTTTAGGGAAAGACACTGAGAAATGGAGAATGAACAAGAGCCAGAGAAAATAAGAAAAGAACAGTGAGAAAAAATAGAGAAGAAAAAGAATAAGAGAGAGACAACAGGAACTTTGAGTTGGGTGCTACCATGTGTGGTGGGTGGTTCAGCAAGCAGACTCTCACTCAGTAAGTATGCGTGTAAACTGCCACAGCTGCTTTGGAGAGCAATGAGTCACTAAGATGAAAACGGATCCATTCAAGCTTTACTTCTTGGTGTGCACTTGAGGGGAGAAATCACACAAGGGCACAAAGAGTCAGGCATACCGCATTGGTTTATTGCATCAACTACTGGAAATAACTGCAGTAGTGAAAGGGACAGCAACCTTGGGACACAATTTTATATAGCTTTTTTTTAATAATGCTATATTTATAAAAGAGACGAACTTCAAGCTATTTTTTTGTCTGACAAATTTCACTGACATGTAGTTTAATGCCACAAAACATACATTCGTGTATGACATCATATTCATATTTTGCTTAAATAACAGAAAGATGATGAGGAGTGTGGAGAAAGAACTAGAGAAAATTATTTGGGGTTAAAAATGAAAGACAGAGGGCCCGGTGCAATAGCCTAGCGGCTAAAGTCCTTGCCTCACATGTGCCGGGATCCCAAATGAGCGCCGGTCCTAATTCCAGTGGCCTCACTTCCCATCCAGCTCCCTGTCACTGGCTTGGAAAAGCAGTAAAGGACAGCCCAAAGCCTTGGGACCCTGCACCTGTGTGGGAGACCTGGAAGAAGCTCCTGGCTCCTGGCTTTGGATTGGCATAGCACCAGCCACTGCAGCCACTTGGGGAGTGAATCTTTGGACAGATCTTTCTCTCTGTGTCTTCTCCTCTCTGTAAATCTGAATTTCCAATAAAAATTAATAAATCTTTAAAAAAGAAAGAAACAAGGAAAAAGAAGCGAGGGAAAGGTGGAAGAATGAAAGAAAAGGGAAGAAGGAAGGCTGGGTTTGTATCTGAAAGAAGGGGGTCAATTATCCAAGAAGTACACAAACACCAAAGGTTGGGGTTTGGAGGAGAAGCAAGCTAATAGCAAAGGAAACAAAATAGGAAGAGCCTGAATTTTGAAATTAAAGCTTTGGGAAGACAAGTGGGTCAGTCCCACTCCTGCTCTAGTTGTCATAAATACTCCGCCTGACTCTGTGCAGCTTCAGTTCTACGAGTAGACTTGTGTTTCCTGTCCAGACACCGCAGTTTCTGTTAAGCAAACATCCCAAAAGACTTAAATGGAGAAGGGTTGTGATTTCATAACGAACAATCTCTGAAGCCGAACACACTGGAAGTCCCTAGACTTGGCTGCTCTGTGGGGTACCATTCTATCAGAATTTATCTCATGGAGACTCTGTGGTGATCAAGGCAGGGGAATGTAGAGGAAGGAATTAAAAAAACAGGGAAATCAGAACACAACAGGGAAGCCAGAAATGCATGAGAAAGATTAAGAAAAACAAAAATGTCAGAATCCAGCAGAGTAATAATATTTAGCACAAAATTTATCAAAGAAGGATTTGCACTCACGAAGAACAGAGGACTAGCACACCTGTGCCCTTTGAGGAGTGCCCTTTTGAGCAAGATCACACAGACATGTCTAAGGTTTAGTAAGGAGTATTTATTAACCAAGCTTGGTGATAATAGAGCATACTAAAAATAGCAAATCAGAAGTCCAGACGGCAATCCAACCAATCATAATCCAACCAAACATAATCCAAAGAGAAATGAATGGTCATTACACTTAAGTCCATTCATTAGCCTGAAGACCTATATCCCAGCTTCCCCAACAGTATAAGTTATCCTAAGTGACATGCAACGAATAACCTGGACACACTTACAAAGCTGCAGACATTCACCTTTCCCTGGCTTCTCTGCCCTCATTCCACTACTGGTAAGCCTCACCTCTGCTGAAACTTCTGATAGTACACAAACCAGAAACAACATTACTATATCCATTGTCCCATCTAAGCAGTACACAGGGACCATGCTCAGGGATTACCTGTCCTGGGTCAGCCAAGAGTTGAGGTGCCAGAGTAACGGAAGCACCTGACCAGAAAGAGAGAGTGAGCCTCCACTTCACGGGCCTTTTAAAGGGGCTTGTGAGGGGAGTGGTTACACAACAATGCAATAACGTCCCCTCAGTTGATAGGTGAGTCAGGTGGGCAGGAGCGAATACCTAAATCAGTTGTGGGCTAGTGCTCATTGGGATGTGCAGGAACAGGAACTGGGCTTGTAGCTAAAACAACCTAGACTAATTGGACTTATCTTCATCCAATATCCTGGCTAAGTTGGGATGTGAGGGGAGGGGTTTAGGATGAAATTATCATTCCATTGTTATTAGGACCCACCTTCGGGACAGAAGGTAAGGAATACAGCCAAATTTCATTTGCCCACTGTCAATGGGTGCTGGGCTATCACTGGCTGCACCCCATAACAGACCATTGACCATCGCTCCTTTTATCTCTGGAACTGAGTGGTGTTTTCCAGGAAGCTCAGACACAGTCCTTCTCTCCTTCTGGGGCAGCAGATGTATCAGTTGTCTCCCCTGTACCACATCGAGATGGGCTTTTTTTTTAAGATTTATTTTATTTTTTTTTTGGAAAGTCAGATCTACAGAGATGGTCTTAACATGTAAATGTATTCTAATAGGAGATTGATGACAACTGGGTCAACTGAGGGTCAATCAGTCTAGCTAGGCTGTTCCTGCAGTTTGGCACAGAGAAGCACTTACTGGACTTCAGTTTCCCTTTCAAGCCTGAGCAGCTGTCAGGGGAGAAAAATAAGTTTTCAGGTGAAAATTTGTAGTTTGGGTGGTTTGGAGGGATCCTATTGACAAACTCCCATTTAGAAACAAGAGGGAGAACTTATTTGTTGGATGTGTTGTATGTGGGGGGCCTGACCTCGTGTTGGCTGGCTGTTGGTTGTTGCCTGCCTTTTACCTCCTAGTCATGTAGACTTTCCCATTGAGCCAGATGGCACAGGACAAAGAGTCCTCCAACAAGGAGCCATATATTGCAATGTAATGCCAGAGGATCACCCATCTTCTTAGCTGCAGTTATGTGGAGGAGCTAGACGTGACAGCAGAGGCTCATCATGGCATGAACATGAGGGGATCCTGGAGCTCAACCACAGCCACCTGAAGGTCTCTCACAGAAGTCCATCTTGCTTGTTCCTGAGTTTCTTAATTTCAAATAGCTACAAATATAATCAGGATCCATATTTTTAACGTAGAACACTACTAAATGATCAGTGAAAGTAAAAGAACATGTATTTCGTGTAGTCATGGAGACACTCACACGTGACATGAGAGGCCTCAGTTCGGTTCCCCATTCCAGCTGCTGGCTGCCTGTGCCTGCTAAGGACACTGGAGGCTGTGGTGATGGACAAGTGACTGCACTGCTGTTACCTGTGTGGGAGACCTGAGCTGACAAAAAAATTAAAGAAATAACAAATCTAAGCTCAGAGTACAGTTCAACTGACACCAAAGCTTGTGGGTTTTTCACTTTCTTTGCCATGTTTCAGATATCCATGCTAAAGGCCATGGGCTAGATCAGCTCAATTTGGCAAAAGGCCAGTGGTTTTAATCAACCATGGGTTTAGGATTATGGGTATTTTTGACCCTTAGTTCCAGTACCAATTAAAGGGAGTTAATTTTACCATGGGTATTCTTTGTTTTTGTAATTATCCTGGATTCAAAAGAGACACTATTTACCTACCCAGTATTTTGTTCCTGAAATCACTCTTACCAGCATGGTTATATACAGTAACAGTGAGCTGGAAAGATGAAATCCTTGAGTAAGTTTCGTTTTTCACTGGTCCCTCAACAATCACCACATATTTTTTATCATGAAATCAAAACTTAACTAATTTCATAGGGAGAAAAAATATATACTTGATTGTGACTTTTATATGGCAATAATTACGTGTCCTTATTGCTGGCTAGAACTTTTTTCCCCCTTTTATGATTGCCTATGCCTTTTACCCACTTGTTTCTTAAGATGCTAACTGATTTGAACAAAGCCATTCGTTTTTCTATGTCGGACACACCCGTATTCCGGCCACCCTCTGGGCCCTCCTGTGCTGGCTTTACTGATGGGGCACGTGGAGCAGTGGCTGGGAGGGCAGACAAGAGCTGCACACTGCCAGGTTCTACGGAGAAAGCTGGGTTAACGGTGTAGTCATGCACAAGTGGGGAAGCGCGTCTTTGGAAACTTCGTCCCTCGGCGGCCTCTGGGACTCCCAGCAGGACCTGCTCTCTGGGGCTGCGGTGGCCCCGGCCGAGCGAGGCGCGGCCGCCGCCCCGCCCGCTCCGCTGCGCCCCGGGGCGCGCGCCCGTGCCCGGCCCCCGCCCGCGCCGCCGCGCCACTCCGGAGCCGGCTGCGGTCAGGCTGCTGCCGGGGCGCTGGGGCTTCCGCGCCGGCCAGCCCGGCTCGGCGCGCTCGCCTGGGAAACTTCTGCGGGCGCACGGCCGGAGCCTGGCGCAGCAGCGGGAAGGCAAGGTAAGGAGAGGTGCTCGGGGTCGCCGCGTCAGCTGCCTCCTTCCTGAACTCTGCACACCCTCGCACTTTGCAGCGATCCCGGGCAACCTGGCGGGCGCGGCTTATGTCCCGGCCCCGCCCCAAGGTGGGGGATGCCTGGCTGCCGACCCCGGAACGCGGGTGCTTTGCCGCCACGCCGCGGTCGCACGCTGCCCGCGCCTTTCGCTCTTTGCCGTTCTGGGAGTTGCTGGCCGCTCAGATAATGCCAGCTTCGGTCGGACAGGCTTCCTGGAGAATTTGCTTCTCAGGTGTCTACTGCCCTGGGTAGCCTAGAACCCCAAAACGGAAGGGCAGATGTGCGCGCGAGAAAAGTGGGTCTGAGGGGCACAGACTGTCTTGGGTTCCTTCCCTCGCCCCCAAACTGAGGGCGAAACGCTGACCTCAGTCAAGCCCTTTGCTCTCAGGCACGGGAGGAGGGTTCGGCGCACCAAAGCTGCTTATAAAGGTCATGAGGACCCGTTTTCTCTATTTGGGGATCCCTTGCCAGAAAGAGAGAGAGAAATTTTCAAGTCGCTAAATTACCCTGTCTCCAAGGTCGCTCAGTTCAAGTGGTAGCTGTATTTTCCCATACTTTAGGAAAGGATTCGAGGACGACTAAAACTCAGAGAATAGAGCTAGGGCAGAAATTGTTTTAGCCAGTAGGTTATGTCACAAAACCGTATAATTCTTTTTGTAAATGACAAATGGAAAGCATAGAATTAGAAGCCCACTCTCGAACACGCTTCGGTTAACTTCCCTCTTTCCTGCCTTTTCACAGTCTCCAATACTTATTTTGAAGCAATTGAATTTCAATATAGGCTTTACAAATTGTTGCTGCTGGTTTCTACTACGTTTTAGCGGCTGTGCCATTGTTTATAATCCTAGGGACTGTTGCATAAAAGCATCCCCCAGGTGAGAGTACAACGACTTGGTTACTTGCTTCTTATGGCAATCGAAATCCAAACAAGAACTACATGAAACAGAAACTAGAAACAAAAACTGGATCTTAGTTGCCATGTTTGCAAAGGGAAGAGATCTGGCTCATCCGCCATCCCAGGTGATTCTTGAGGTTCTTTCCTGTCCTGAAAAGCCTGTGCGAAGCAGAAATACACCAACTGAAATGTAGAGGACGATGCCATCTGTCCTTGGCGTTTTGGACGTTTCAATGGGAAACTGTTGATAGCTGGGTTTCTTAAATCCTATTAGTTACTCAAAAATAGCTGAATCATTGTGTAGACTGTGATTCTAAATGGTTACACTCTGTGCTATTAAATAAAAATGTCAGAGAAACCAAAATCCCATACTTCTTACACGAAGACTGACTGTTAGGGTTGACACGCTGGAGCACTTATGGTTGGTTATTTTGAACAATCTCTTGGAAAGATCAAGAATGTTAGGAAGCATTTGCTACCGAGTGCGAGGATACTAATTCATAAGCAACATGGCAGGCAAGAAATTTCAAAAATGCTTTAAAAAATATCCCTGCACTTCTCACTGATGATTTTTTTTTGTAATGATGGTCACTGGGGTTCAAAATGCCCATCAGTTCATAGATTGATTAGATTTTTAGGCGGACATGTTTCTTATTTGTTATTCTAGGCAGTTCTAGGAGAAGTTATTAAAACTGCAGATTACAATAGGTGTTGTCAATGAGAGCTAGGGATTAATCTTCACAGACCCCAAGTGAAACTGTCTCAGGGCGCACGGTGTGTGTGTGTGTGTGTGTGTGTAACAGAGTTAACAGCCTCCTGTGGCCATCTCAACTTCTGGAACTGGCCAGGGAAGGTCATTAAGGAAGAAGGTGTGCGATAGTTCTAGCGTAACAGGAAGAATCTCCCCCTGCACAAGCTTCATTCTCTCCTCTGAACCATGCTGAATATATTCTGGTTGCAGAGTTGTGGTGACAAGGAACTGGGTGAGTGTAGTGCCTGAATACCAGAGCACAGCTAGCCTTGGTTCTTCTGTCTTGGAAGGCATTTTTTCATTGATTGAACAAACAGTGGGCTGAACAACAGTGTGCCAGGTGTCACATTTAACTTCAAAAAACGCATGTGGCAAAATCTTGACACTTACTGAATCTAGGTAATGGTGTTTTATTATATACTTTGTTGTCTATTTTATGTTTATGTTTAGAATCATCAAGAAAAAATTTAAGTGTGCATCTGAAAAAAATGCCTAATCCTGCATTTCATTTTAAATTGTATGTTTTTTTGGATTAGTGAATATTTAAATATGGTTCAACACAAATTATGTTTAGGGAATGAGTAGGCACAGAGTGGCTAGGGTGAACAATCCATAGGGATTTCCCATTTTTTGTGGAATTTTTTTTACCTTGAAATGATCTGAATAATACATGACAATGTTGATATTTGTTCATCTGGTTGATGGATTCATAGATTATTTCAGATTTCATATTTATATTTTATGTTTAAATATATTTATATTTTATATTTACAATTTTTAATGAATATAAAATTACATTCTTTTCTAAAGTCATCATAAAATATAAACAATGCATAAACATTTTTAATAGTGTGTTAGCATCTAGAAATATTCTTTAAGTTAAAGGTATTCCATTTATCTTTCTGGGCATTTCTACAAATAGGATAGCTTGATGGATAGATGACAGAAATGCTTTTATAAATCATATGCTTGTAAATTTAAATATAGGGCACAAACCCATTAGTTTGACTCTCTACTTTGAGTTCCTATGTAATAAACTGCTACCTCACTTTGTAAACAAATTAGAGTCAACATTAAATGGCCAGTTTACAACCAATCACTGTCAGCCAAGCTTCAGCCAATCACATGGACAGCCAGTGAATAAACTGCCCTCAAATAAGGCTGGAGCCAATCAAATCATCTAGTGTTCAGACAGGCAGAACTCTCTGAACTTCTGATGTTGAGGACTCCCTGAGTCAGCCCAAGTCCTGCTAAATGTGGTTTGTCTAAAGTTTTCCCTTTATATGATATACTGGAGATGCTCATTTAATTAACATTTGTATGGCATTTTAACAAACTGTAATGAAAGTGAAGGAATTGCTGAACTTAACAGTAGTAGTTGTTCACCTCCAAAGACAAAAGGTCTTAAATAAGGTTTCCTTCTAGGGAAAGAAAGTCTCTTGTTACACCTTGGGGTCAGATTTTGCAAACTTATATTGATTTAGATAGTGACTTCTTGTTACAGCACACAAAGTGTGATTTCCCTTTTGCTCAGATTCCTGCTGCTCTCATACATTTGTTTTCATGTTGTAAAGAAATAAATTACCTGCACTGCGCCTTAAAAGCCTCCTTGCAGATACTGTTTCAACTTAGTTTTATAACTAAATAGAATCCAGGCTGATCCCTGGTCCTTTTACCAAAGCATCTCATGCATAAATTTTAACTTGTGGCCCTCTCTTAGATTAGCTAGATTGTGTCACCATGTGTTTGTTTCCAAAGAAGCCTCAGTTCCTGTGTGTTTTTTCTATTTGAAATGTCCATCTTTTATTTCTGTACTTACATGGCTATTTCATTGGATGTAACATTTTGAACCACAATTTCCTAACCTCACATTATGCAGCCTGTGCTCCATTAACCTGTGGCAGCTAATGTGGCTGTGGACATGTGGAAGGCTATGGAGAGCTTTCCCTAGTGGAGTCAGCTTGCTTTTTTTGTTTGAAGTTTGGTGACTTAGCCAGGCTATATTTTGGTTAAGTACTGTACTGATTTCCTATAGAACCTGGTATATTATTTCTACTGGAATTATCACTTGCTCTGAATGCTTGCAATATTTTCCCCTTAGGAGGTGATTTTTTTCCCTTTTGCAATTGTCTACTTCAGACACTAGTTACCATTATATTTCTAATATTTTTTTCTCCATATCAGTTGTCTTTTCTGTGAATTTATTCTTTATTTTTTCATACATTCACTGATGGTCTAAATTTTAAAAGTATAACTGATGCATAATTGAAAATGTAACATGGTATTCCTAGCAATAGGTACGGAATACTTGGATTCTGACTTGGCTCAGTTTGTCTTGAAGAGGTGTTCTTCTGCCCCTATTGTAGCTGTGAAGTGACTTGATATGAGTACCTCATGCAGGTAGGTGGTTGGGTTTGTGTTTTTTCCTGCATTGGAGATAAAAGAATTAGGTTAAAATTCAAGTTCCAAACACATGTTACATTCTAATTTTTCTGGAAGTCACAGTGCATGAATGATACAGATAATGCTTTATTTCCTGTTATGAAAGAAAATTTGATCTCCACAGGGAGAAATGAAAAGAAACATTTTTAAGCATTTTCTTCAAATTCCTAAGCTCCTGTAGGAGCTCAGCTTTGTTTTCTGTTCGCTGTCTTCATTTTCAAGTTTAACTAAAATCTTGGCAACTTAAGGAAATCATTAATTAGTGGACAATCCTTCACCAATACTTGGTCAGATAGCAAAGGGAGTTTTAGATAAAGATTCTAATTGTGCATTTGGGATACGTGATTCCTGATCAAGAAATTCTGTTTGGCAAAAAAGCTAACTATGCAAAGATGTAAATCCCGTCAGTCTATTCCAGATTTATTAGACAGAAAACTCAGCAGTTGTGATCTCCCAAGGCTGGAGACTAGTAACCTGGAGCCATGGCTGGCCCCTGAAATTTTACCTGCTCACCTTTGGCTGTTAACAGTATTTGAAAAAAAAATTAGTTACCAGCATTTCAAGGTCAGAAATGTCCCCATGAAGTCAGAGGAGCGGACAACCCTGTGGTCACAACAATCAGCTGGAAGTAAGGGGCCTGCATGGGTGGGACATGCTCATGCTTGTGCCCGCCTGACACCATTCAGTTACACAGACTATCTGGTAGCTGTAGGAACTGTGGAGATAAGGGGGCTATGCCTCCTTACTTCAGGAAAGTAGACCGAGGCAAAGAGACAGAGCTGCAGATAGATCTCATGCCTCTTTGTGTTTGATCCCAACCTCAAGATACTTTAAAAAAAAACTTCCTGTAATTTAAA